CAGGCTGACTTTGAACTAACAGGATCCTCTTGTCTCAGCCTCCTGAGTGCAGGGATTACAGGCATGTACCACCACACCCAGCTTCACTATCAATCTTATCTTCATGGTTTTACTACCTTGCTTTTCTTCCCCACATGGGAGGCCAATGTTAAGTCTATCTAAAATCTGTTTTTTGTTTTGTTTTGGTTTCTTTTCTTTTTGAGACAGAGTCTCACTATGCAGTTCCGGCTGGCCTGGAGCTCACTTTGTAGCCCAGGCTGGTCTTAAACTTGCAATGATCCTCCTGCCTCAACCTCCTGAGTGCTGGGATTACAGGCATGCGCGCTACGCCCAGCCTATCTAAAATCTGAAGATTGTACTATACATTTCTCTGTTGTGAGCTAGCAACATGTTTTTCAGGAATCTCAGCTTTGTTCTTGTGAATAGTTTCTGTGCGGGTCAACTGGTACTCTTAGCAAATGTAATATCAGTGGGTAACTAGTGAACCAATTGTTGAATGTGACATTACTTTTTGAAATACACAGATGCAACAAATCCAAAATTGTGGTTTATTATTCCATGAAGAAAATGCTAGTAGCTGAGTTGCTGGACAAATTTCTAAATTCAAGGTGTAAATTGTCTTCCCATCTCCCAGGGCATATCTTTTTATACCATATTTGAAAGGCTTCAATGATGCAAGTCATGTATTTGGACAGGGTATGAATTCTTTGACAGTTCAAAACAAAGCATTCAACAAATGAGTGAATAACAGCCAAATTGTCAGATATTTTTCTTTCTTGGTGGGTCTATTTTATCATCAAAATGTAGGCAGTTTTGAGGGAAACTAAATCTATTGTGTCATTATTGTTCCTAAAATCCCAATGCCACGTCTGTCACTTCTCCATTAATCTTTTAGATTTTGACAGTCAGAATGATAAAGTCTGTTATGAAGGCTTTTAGTTTAGATAATAAGGTGTCATGATAAATATATTTTTGAGTATTACCATTGAGGCATATAGAATGTTTTCTTGCATTTCATTATGAGTATATTTCAAAGCATCTTGTACATATCATCTGTTACAAACAATTTCCAACACTGAATCTCAGTGTTGGCATTCCATCCTGTCTTGGTTACTTTTCTTTCGTTGCTGGGACAAAATACCTAACGCCCAAAATGAAGGAAGGAAGGAAATTAGCTTACAGTTTGTGGAAGTTTCAGTCCATACTTGGCTGGCTCCAAGGTAGAGTGGCACATGGCAGAGGGCAACAGTTCATGGCGGGGGAAGACAGCAAAGCAACAAGCGCAAAGGGAGGAGTAGCAGAGAAGAGCAAGCCTCTTTTCCTCCCTTACATTGTGAGCAGGCTACCCCCAACCAGGGGGTGTGTAGCACTCACATAATCTCCATGCCCTCCTCTTGCACAGGCTCAGGATGAATACAAAGTAAGCACCCTGGCTCCCTGCTGAGTCACACAGTTAACCTTCTAAACTTCTCAAATTGACACAATAAACAACATCCCAGAAGGGTAAGGGCATGTTCTTTTCACTCCAAGATGCAGAACTGCTGAGTCACTTAGCCAAACCTCTAGACTCCCGAAAGTGACACAATGTATCAACCATAACACATCCAGTAGGCTTCACCCCTGGCAAGAACCTAATAATGTTTTCTGACCTAATTCTAACATTGGATCATTCAGGTATACATGACCATTTTGTAGCATTTTGGCTAGTCATATTTATTTACATTACTGTTTTCTTCCTCATTTAAATCAAGGTCTTCATTCTGTACTTGTCTGTCATATCTCTATCTGTCATTTCTCTGTCATATCTCTGTCCATTGCATCTGTCACATATTGCTAAGTTCTTTAGCTTATATGAGTGAGGTCATCGGTAGCCAAGTCACCTGATGACTCATTTTCAACCTCCTCTAAAAGTTGCAAGAGCAGATTTTCATGTGACATTGTACTGAATTGGGCTAATTCTACAAGAAAAATCAAAAGAAAACATTTAATAGAAAAAATTATAAATACACAAAAATGTAACACAGCACATAATGTGTGTAAAACTCACCCACTTACACTTTGATCCATGTGCTGTATCAAGTGGGTGAACACAAAGATTGCATCCTGTATTAGCCCAGTGCCGGCTACTGTTATGCTAAAGTACATATTTTCATTAGAAAAGTATGGTGCGGGCATCTGAGGAACCAATTAATCATATGAGTATATTTCTTTAGGCCAGATTTCTAAAATTGCTAGGTCAAAAGGAATGAATATTTTCAATGTATCATGCTAAATTGATTTTTAGAAAGATTGGGCCAATTTTTCCATCTGTTACTGTTAACAGGATGGGAAGATATCTTCCTCAGTGCATGCTTGCCAACATAAATTCTTTTCTTTTTTCCTTTCTTTTCTCTTCTCTTCTTTTCTTTTCTTTTCTTTTCTTTTCTTTTCTTTTCTTTTCTTTTCTTTTCTTTTCTTTTCTTTCTTTTCTTTTCTTTTCTTTTCTTATCTTATCTTTTCTTTTCTTTTCTTTTTCTCTCCCCCCGTCTTTTTTTCTTTTGGTTTTTTGAGACAGGGTCTCACTGTGTAGTTCAGGCTGGTCTTGACCTCACTATGTAGCCCAGGCTGGCCTTGAGCTTGCGATTATCCTCCTGCCTCAGCCTCCTGAGTGCTGGGATTACTGGCATGTACCACCACACCTGGTGATTATTATATTTTCAACTTTAATAATTTCATAACTAAAAATTAAATGTCATTTTAAAATCTATTTACTAGTGAGAAAACATTTAACTTCCATATTTGTTTTTCCAGGGTTGCCTGTATAAAAGCTTTATTTTATGTTTGAGAAGTGGCTTGGCTCATTTTTTTATTGATGTACAAGGTTTCTCTCTCTCTCTGTCTCTCTCTCATGTATATGTATATGCATGAGAGAGAGAAACATGGCCATATGGAGATACACACACACACACACACTTGGGTATTGTCTATGTTTATAGACATATGTCTATATGTGTTACGATTTCTGTCTAGATGCGCCCCCCGACGAAGCTTCATGCAGTCTTGGGGGATGGGCTTTCAGAGGTGGTTGAATGAAGAGTTTGTGATTGATTTATGGTCCAATGCTGGGATTAAGGGTGTGAGTGCTACACCTGCCCTAGGGTGAGTAGCCTGTATACAATATAAGGGACTGGAAGAGTCTTGTGATTCATGATTCCCACTATCATACACTTTCAGAAAGCAAACTGGCGATATTACAATAATTGTTTGCTTCAGTGTAGATTTTTCATTCCCGAGCTACCTGGCAAGTAGAAATTCAGCTCCTGGGAGAATAAAGGGAACAACAATTAGATATCAGGCCTGCAGTGTATCCATAAACATGACAACCCTACAGCTCACATTTTCTAAAAGAGTCCTGACTTCAAATATTTTATCCTATTGGCCTTATTAGCAATCCAAATGCCTTAGTAGTACATCTAAACTGTATTTTCTAAAGTGTTTCTTATTGTTTAAAGAAACACAGAAATCCTTTGTTAGACTGTGTCACCCTAATTTTGGTTTGGAAAAAGTATATCACTGTACTTAAGAATATTTCTTTTGTTTTTGTTAAATGATGGGGGTTAGGCATGCGAAAACAGTCATTTTGGGTACGTGAAATTAGAGCAAACTGACTCAGTATCCCAGATTTCTGAGGATATATGGGCACTTATTCTCTTTATTTAGTCATTGAATTATACGTGCAGGCACTCGGTCATATCCCACTTCAGCATCTACCGGGTAGAGGGAATGAGGCTGGGAACTCAACTAAATATAACACAGGCTTGGGGCTGGGGATTTAGCTTAGCGGCAAAGTGCCTGCCTGGCAAGCACAAGGTCGTGAGTTCGGTTCCCGGTACCGGAAAAAAACAAAAAACAAAAACAAAACAAAATATAACACAGGCTCTGCTTTCAGATATGTCATTGTCCAAAATGGGGAGATATGATACATAATAATTAATAACAGTTCATTGTTAATCCAATATAGAGTCGACAAGAATTTCTAAACCTCAGAGAGGAAAATGGACAAAAGTAGAGTAAGACTGTCAATCTTCAAACAATTGCTAAGAATAATAATTAATTCAAGTTTATGAAAATGTAGTAGGAAATATGGAGATCTCCCACTTGGGAATATGCAGAGAGATTCTGATTCACTAAATCATCACCAAAATGAGTATAGTAGTTATTGTCTATTGCTTTGAAATAAACTATCCAAGTATAGTGCCTTGATTCAACCACCACCATCTGTTTGTTTATACTTTTGTGATCGTGGTCGTTCTCAGCAGGGTTTCCCCAGATGGTGTTAGCTGGGGTGGCTCATTGGGCTGGAGCATCCTGAATGGCCTCTTGCTTATGTCTGTCACTGTGGCTGTGATGGCTGGGACAGGTGGGGCTGCTTTTCTAGCAGGGCAACTGGGCTTTCTTGTGGGATGAGTTATGGTCAGAGAGAAAGAGGAGAAACTGTTAGACCTTCTGACAGCCCAGGCCCATTACTGGCCCAGTCACATTCACTGAATTCTAGTGATAAGAACACCCAAGGTCAAGATCTACCTCTTGATGAGGGGAGAGAAATGCCTATAGAGGAACGGGAGCAACTTTTGGTGGCCATCTGTGTAATCTACCATACTGACTTAAAGGAAAACAATTGAATTCACCTGACAGCTGAAGAATGGGATCTCACTATTTTACCTAGGATGTTTCTGTCACTGATGAAGGCTTGCTGTATTCTCCCACTTGTCTAAATGTGCATTCATGTCATATCAGCTTCGGTGGGCTGTTACACACTTGTGCTAGGCCATGCCCAGCCCCGATCACATAAAGATGATTTCGGCAAAGTTTACATTGTGAGTGATTCTGCCAAGGCAGGAGTAAACTTCCAGGATTTTCAAGCCTTCTTCTCTTCATTCACTGCCTTTGCTTTTGACCTGTTAATTGATCATGGCATCCACCCATCTTACAGAGGTTTCTCACTGTCTCTGTTGTTTCAGGTACTAAAACAGGTGCAGATATTAGTGATGGTACCTGTGAGCCTGGACTGTCTTCCCCGGCCTCCTATAAGAACCCCTTCCCAGTGCTCCATCTCATCGAGGACTTGAGACTGGCCCTGGAGATGCTGGATCTTCCTCAGGAGAGAGCAGCTCTCCTGAGTCAGGTGCCTGGCCCAACAGCTGCCTACATAAAGGAATGGTTTGAAGACAGCTTGGTGAGTTGGTCAGTGGCCTGATTGGGGAACCACTGAGAAAAATCATCATATAACCTATGGAATGCCACCACTGGCTAGGGCTCTTGTCCCATTCATACACTCTCCAGCCTTTCTTATTTTCTATCCAGCTATGCCCAACTCCTGCTGATGGGTCGTTCCTAATAGTAGTGCAGCGCCCAGTTAAGTAGCTTAAAATATGCCATCTGCCTGTGAGAAGAGGAAATACATGGTCAGAGAGTGGTAAACTTGGAAGATCCTCCACCCCCAGAATTACATGTACTACTTGCTGAGTCTTAACCCTTGACTAGGGTTTCTTACCTTTAAATGGATCCCATTCTGCTTTATTCTTAACAGAATCCACAGCCTGTTTACTCCATTTCTTTACTTCTGCTCCTACTTGTTACCCTAGAACTACTTCCTGTCCCTAAAGTGGAGTGTAGATTTAACTCTCCTTTGCCTACCCGCTGGATTAGGCATGCAGACTTGCTCGTTTCCAGGGAAAGCAGAAGGGTAACCAAGCTGTAAATCCATTACAGCTTTGGTTATCCATCTGCTTCCTTGTGGAGACCACCAGTTTGGCCTTAAGAGACCAGTAGCATCTGCAAATGAAAAAAATGAAGAGCTAGCCTGTTGAGGAGGCCATCTGGAATGCAACTGTCCAAGTACTAGAGGCAGGATGCTGGAAGCCAGAAGAAAGTTTCTTTCTAAGCTTAGTTTAAGGATGAAATTTGAATTGCAGAATGCTAGAATCCTCCAGACCTGATTCAAAACTGAAGAGTACACGTAGAGTGGGAAGGCAGGAACGGGCATAAAACTGTGAGGGAAAGACTGATGCTGAAGACCACAAACCAAGGATACTGAGACACCCTTGTCCAGAGGCCATTGTCAGTTGTGATTAGACAGGCTATGTCCCAGATGTCCTAGACTACTTTCTGTTTCAGAGGCCTCTGTCAATGTAGTTGCATCCCTATGCCTTATTCTAAACACTAAACAGTTCTTCATTATGTTCATTATGTGTGTTATTCAATATTTTCATTACGTAGGCTGTCTACCTGGTGTTCTGTGTAATGAACCTATACCAGTGTGGCAGGCAGAATAATGGTCCCTAAAACTGTCCATACCACTGATGGCTGGAACCTGTGCGTGTTACCTGAGACAGGAAAGGGGAAGCTTGCCTGTGGAATTAAGTTAGTTTTCAATTTTCTAACTTTAAAATAGGGAGAGTGTCCTGAACTGTCCATGTGAATCCAGTGTAATCACGGAGTCCCCATAAAAGCTTTCTGTGAACTCTTTCAGTAGAATCCAGAGTCTCATTCTCCTCCTCTCAGTTCTGCCTCTGACCTTACCATCTCGAACCAAGAGATTAACTGAAGGATCTTTTTAAACAAAAGCCCACTCTATCCAAAGTACAGAATTTCCTTTTTAAAAAATTACTCACTGTACAATTTACAGAAGCTATGGATGTTTCTCAGTAATCTTCTGTGCATCTGCCTTAATTTATGTGACAGTTTTTCTAATATTGATATTTAGATTATTTTTAATCTTTCACTAATGTATGGCATTGCTGTGATGAATCTTTTCATCCAGCATATTTGGTCTTTTCTCTAGATATTTCCTAGAGTATAATTATAGAATTTAGGGTTACCAGATAAAATATAGAATTCCTAGTTAAATTTGATTTTAGATAAGCAATGAAACATTTTTACTAAGTGTGCTCCATAGTTTGCAAAAGCTGACAACTCTAATCCAAAAATATTGGTAACTTAGGCTTTTTGACACATTTTTCAAAATCACCTTTCGGAAGGATTTAACCATTTATATTTTCATTAGGAAAGTTTAAGATAACTCTATTAAATGCATTCTAATCAACAATAATTAGTAAGATTAAAAAACAGCTTTACTAACTTCATAGCGGAAACATTTTCCTGTTGTTTTGGTATTTCTTTGTTTAGTGAGAAGACTAAACTTTTTTTGTTTATCAGTATGCATTCTTCTGTATCATTGTAAACTTTTAATCTCATACTCTGTCTAAAAAATCTTTGTATACACATTTCACATGTAAAATATTTTACTAATGTATTTAAATGATTGGAATAACTTCCAGACAGAGAATTTTCAAAATACACTTACTTTCCACTCACCCTAGAGATTATCTTGAGCCTCTTGGGTGGGCCTATCCCTCCCTCATCTGATCACATTGTTCTATTAGAATTTTAGTGCTCATGTATTTGAATGACCTTTTCCTACCCCTTTGCTTTGTGCTATATATTTTCCTTTGCTTTTAAATACAGTTCTATTTATGGTGATTTTTAAGACATAGAATTTTTAGACATTGCAATTAATTCCATCCAGTCTTTCCTTTTTCAGTTTTCTGCTTTTCTTTTCAGCCCTAAAAAGGCCTTTCTTAATCTCAGATCAAATAACTACTTACTTGTGTCTTCAATAGGTTTATAGTTTGATATTTTATCTTATGGTTAACTCTAATTCATCAGTATTTTTAGTGTGTGGTATGAAAAGTGCATCTAACTTTTAAAATACTTTTTAGAAATAATATTAAAAATATTTTTGATCCAAAGGCAGTCAGGGTGGTTGTTGATTTTTGTATGAGGCATTACAGAAAACAGCATGCTTCAGGTTTGCAGATTTGTTTGGGGGTTATTTACAATGGTTTGGGAATTGCCTTCCTGTAGAGAGAAAGTTTTCCTAGAAGTTACTGCATTCATAAATCTTTTAGAGTAATTATGGCCATCAGCAACCTATGAATGGTGTACTTTTAAGGGGTCAGAAGTTCGTATAAACATTCCAAGAAATAGGAGCTGGATGTTAAGGTTTTGATTCTGAACAGAGATGGTCCATCAGTATTTTGGGTCTTTCAGACCTAAAGTCAGTTTACATTCTGGTTACACACACATTCCACGCTAGTTCTTATCTGTATGAAAATAAAATTCAGAGTGCCGGACAAACTCACCGGGCATTTTAGATTGGTCATTTTGTCAGAAGCCCTTGCTACACAAGGGTTATGGTGCAGCAGCTTTGGTATCCATTACGAGCTTGTGAAAAATGTGGAATATGAACCTCTATCCTTCACCCACTAAGCCATCCTCAAGTGATTCATATGCACGTTAAAGTTTAATCGAAAGACTCACTTTTATTATTTTTTAAAAGGATCATGCTGATTTGGATTGGAATTAGAACTAGTGAGCGGTTTGAGGGATTAAGCAGGGTTGACCAGGGCCTTCTTGTTCGTGTCATCTGTGTATCTTTTGTGTGTGTGCTCTGTTCTCATCTGTAGACACACTGGCTTTGTCACACCGTTCTTAGTTACTGCCTTGTTGTAATGTTGGCCTGATGTAGTCCAACTCAGCATCACAACATCTCTATCAGTTGGAATGCATTCTCTAGTCAACAGATAGAAGCAATAAAGAAGTGTATATCTCACTAGCAAGCTGTCTGGAGGATGTACAGTCCCGGGTGAAATCAGTGACTGGATAACATCAAAAATTCTGCTTTTTCCTTTTTTTTTTTTTTTCTCTTTCTTTTGCCCTACCATCCTCAGGGGTTGGGGTTTTTCAGATGTGTTCCCTAATGGTTTCAAGATGGCTGCTGGGCCTCCAGCAATATGTCCTCACACCCTCCTATGACACAGCTCTTCAACTATGTCCAAAGATAGGGAATAGTATTTTTAGTATTTTTAATTAGTAGGGAATATCTTTCTCTCAAACCATACAAGAGACTACCTCTTGGTCCCAAAGGCCAGATTTTATTCACACAAACACAAATTCTAGCTGCAAATGTAGATGGAACCTTCCATTCCTAGTCCAAGAAAATCTCAAAAGTTTGAATTTTGGAGTGCTTCGGTTTCAGAGTTTTGGATTATGGATGGTTAGTTAGTAAATTCTATGCAAATATTCCAAAATCTGAAAAAAAAATCCAACGTCTGAAACACTGTTGGTCTGAAGTATTTCAGCTGAAGGAGTCTCAACATGTATTGGCACTTCCATCTGTCATAGTAGGAGGTGACCCCTGTCAGAAAAGAAGAATGGAATGGAAGAAATAAATGGACCTTGGAGGACAGCTCAGAAAGACTATCACTATATTATTTGAGTTTGAGTTTGTTCTTCTGGTTGACTGAAAATTCTTTCCTCCATTAAAACAAAACAAAAAAACCCAAAAAACTAAAATTCTTAAAGAATACAGTCTCATTGGTCCAGCTCTTAATTTTAGGGCTAAGTCCTCCAGGCCCATACAAAATATTAATTGCAAATAAAATGGAAATTTAAAACTTTTAATTTAATCAAAGGTATGGATTATATGCTCTTGGGTCAGGTGATCACTCAAGCGCCAATGCACTGTGGCCAAAAGAAAAGGTCATGTGGTGAGAAATGTGGTCTCCTACCATTACTGTCCGTCAAGGACTACAGATGTTCGGGCACCTTGGCATCTGTGGTCTGCCAGAAAGGGACTATTGGAGAGGTAGTGGTGGACATGGGGCCCAAGATACCCGGGCCAACAGTCTCCAGATGGAGATGGAGTGATTGGTGTTTAGAGTAGAACAGATAGCAGTCTAGTCCTGGGCCTTCTCTGTGTCTTCAGTGGAGAAGGAACCCGTGGTCCTAGTGCTTCATAGTAGGCAGCTGTGTTTCTTTACAAGCTAAGTCCTCTTCTGCTGGGTCTTGGCAGGGCTGAGGTGCAGCTGGATGAGCATGATCATCAGGATCCCTGTTGGCTAGAATTCGCTGCCGGAGATGGGTATGAATAGCTTAGCATCATGCTAAAGACCAAGTGGAGCAACTCTGCTCAGGATCCAGTAGTTTTGGGTTGGGTGAGTTTGCAGGGCTTGAGGGCCTAAACCTGTGTCCTGCCCCTTTGCAGTAAGTGTAGTGAGAAGTGGGCTTCAGGCCTGAAAAGACATTTTGGGGGCTGTCTGGGTTGGGGATAGTCTCTGGACCCAGTGAGAGATGGAACAAAAGGTTTTGATTCTCTTAGTCGAGGGACAGAATCTGTATCTGAATTCTCAGCCGATCCCTGGGAAGATGGTGGATGAGTGTGTGTCATGTACAGCGAGTTTCCTGCTGTTGAAGGTAAGCGTGGGGCCAAACTGCAGAGACTGCTGTGGTGCAGCAGAAGTGTTACCCGCAGCAAGTGGAAAGGTGGTCTTTTATGTTTGGTAGAAAGGGCCAAGTCTAGGGCCAGCACCCACTGAGCACGAATGTGAGGCACTGAGTGCAGGCTGAGTCATGTCTGTGTGATGGGAATGGAGCCAAGTTCCAGCTAGGGGCAACTCCCATCGTCTGTGTGTGCTTTGAAGTGACCAGTGATGCCTTTAGAAGGGTGTGGCTCTTTCAGGTCAAGACCTCCTGAACCTCACCAGATGGTCCTGCCATCCAGAGAGAAAAGAGTGCCTCTCAGTGGCCCTGACATGTGCCACAAGCAAGAAAGATCTGCTGTCATGACTACTACTAGAATTTTGGCTGTACCCTGAGGGACTTTCCCATGGTTTTGCCCACCTGTCTGGCTGCGTTAAATGAAGGTTGGCTGATGTTATCCAGGGCTAGTGTAGTGGTTGGTGTCCCACCAGGTTAGCCAGACAGATTCAAATGGGCCCTAAAGGGTGGAGAACCACCAACCAACTGCAGGAGTAGAGCCAGTAGCTTGTGAACAGAGTGCTGATTAGTGGTCCAGATCTTTGGATGATGCTGAAAAGATACCAGGGCCAACCGCCTCCAGATGGAGTGGTTATGAGTACTTCTCCAACATTCTGGTACATACACGCCCCTTTACCCGCAGACAGTCCATCACACTGTTTAATACTGTGGATGTGGGCCAAGGAGATGCTTGGTGAAGGTTCGATATGAAGTCAGGGAAAGGGCAGGCAAGCCGAGCAGCAGCAGAGTGAGTGCAAGTCAGGACAGTGCCCAGCTTCCAAGGTGAGGGGCAGTAGTTGGCGGAGAACATATAGAGGGGCTGTGCTCGTGGCCCTCCTTGAACTGGAGTACATATGGCTGAGGCCCACCCCATGGGAGCCTAGGCTTCCCTCGGCAAGGTTGCAGGTATCCTAGTCTGTGTGCCTGGTAGGCAGAAGCAAGTTCAGCCAAGCTGAAGCAGTACAGGAGATAGGAAAGAGTTAAAGGACCAGTTCTGCCCTAGCTCTGCCACTTGCACACAGCTTTGAATAAATCTCTCTCCTCTGGGAGATAGTTCCTCTGTACTGGAAATGACAGCTGAGTTTGACAGTGCCTTCAGGATATGGTCAAGCATTCTATCCCATGGTTTGTTCTGGGGCTTGTATTGAGGTGCTTCAGTAAGCACCAGCCTTGTCCTCCCTGTTGCCAAAGTGGAGACAGGTAGGGAGTCTTATACCTGCAGGGCTCAGCTGAGGCCCTCCTCTCAAGAACAGTGAAGAAGGCTCTCCTGTATGCGGGGCGTGTGCTGAACCCACAGGGCAAGGCACCACCTCTGACATCCCTCTAGTCAGTGAAGGCATCTCTATTTACATTTTGAACTAGTTCCTCAAGGAACACAAAAAGGGACCCAGACCCTGGAGAGGGCACGGCTCTTTCGCCTCATCAGCTCCTCACCTCACAGATGGCGGCTCCTTCAGCTCCTTGCTCCTCAAACAAAGCCTGTGCGTTGCTGGCAGATTCACTTGCGATCTTTCATTCTGCTGAAAGAGGAAAATCTGTTTACCATATTGAAAAGCCAGAGGAATTGTGAAAAAGGTAGGGAGGAAAAGCTGTTTTATGCATTATAAAACATGAGCCTGACTTTCTCTTGCCATGTGATTCATTAATGTATCTCTGTTCTCCAGTCAGGATGGGACAAAAGACAGATCTGGATATATTTATGTCGAACATTTTAATTTTGAAAAGATACAGACAGGGGTTTTTATAAGAAAATTTTTTCCTCTGAATTTTAAAGGAGAAAAGGGGAAATTTGCTCCTTATTTTTCAAGGAAAAAGAGCTGGTGTGAACTAGTTTCAAATGTGGTTTCTTACCTGCCCTTGTGGCAAGTATGTGAGAGCTGAGGAAAGAGACCATATCGACTGTTTTTTTCCTGTCCTGAGTGAGCTTCCAAGGGGCTCCCATCCTGGGCAAGGCGTGGGGGTGGTGTCTTTGTCCCTGTGTAGTACTTCAAGAAACCACTAGGTGGGAGTCAGGCACAAATGCTGGGAAGTCTTAACTCCAAGGAAAAGGAAGGAATAAGGTATGGGCCTTTATATGGGGAAAAAATATGTTTTCTTGTTAGATTAGAAAGATAACGCAAACATCACTCATTAGTGAAGCTTCTGGACAGTAAACCTTGGTCATTTGGAAAAGATACTTCTTTCTTATTTTCTTTGGAAACCAGTAGACAGAGGATAGTCAGGGGAGGCCTCCGCTGTAAGGCCTGAGGGGAAAGAGAGAAGGAGGCTGAGGGACGGTCCTGGCGGCACTGACCTGGTCTTCCATTGTCTATGGCAAGAAAATCTCTCCAAACTCCTTGACTCGAAAGCCTTGTGCTCTTCGGTACTAGCAGTATGGTGCTCTGCATTCCGGGAGCCATTTCCTGGCCCACGTGTCTGCCAGCCCTGCCTTAGCGGAGCTTCCTGTGTCTCCAGGGGTTTTGAATGTCGTTTTTCCCCTGGCGCAGAACCCAAGATTCAGGGCTATAAACTTTTGTAAATTTAGCAGTTTTATTTTTCTGGATGCTCCCCGCTCAAAAAAAAAAAAAAAAAAAAAAAAAAAAACTTATGCTGTACTAAATTCTAGCAACCTGGATCCTTTCAAACCTGACCAAAAGAGACTATTTCAATCTTCAAGAACCAATGTTTATAAAATGACCAAGAATGTGCAAACACTGGTAAAAGAGCAAATAAATCCTTCCCCACTAAATTTCCTGCTTTGGGCCCCAGTGACATGGTGGACAGATGTTGCCAGGTTAGCATAACTTGAGGTCTGAGCATGTAGACACCCACTTACCCTCTACCCGCAAAGAAGCCTTTCAGAGCCCACCACAGAGAACCTTCTGCCTCTTAAGCTCCCACTAATGGGCAGGGAGGAAGGCTGAGAAGCTCCAGGAAATTTATGCTTTCAGTCCCCAATGCTTCAGGTAAATTCTGAAAGTAGTTTCCTAATCTTAGCCACTCTAGCTATGGTTCTGGAACAAATACCATGAGCATCTCTTGGACACTAGTTAGCAATGCACAATTTCAGGTTCCATTGCCAGCATGCTGGGTTGGGATCTGCAGTTTTACTAAAACTGCCTCTAGCCCCAACAATTAATTATAGATGAGGAAGCTTTATCCTAATCAGGCCTATGCCCCATCACTTAAGAATGAATTTCACGTTTTTCAGTAATTGAAGAAAAATCACAAGAATGTTTTGTGATGTGAAAATGATACAAATTTCAAATTGCAGTGTCCGTAAATAAAGTTTTACTGGGACACAGCCACACTCATTGGTCTTGACACTGGATGTGGCCACTTTCATCATGCAAATAACAGTTGAGTATGATAGAGACGTTGTGGCCCGCCAAGACTGAAACATCTACTTCCTGGCCCTTGTTTTAACTCATTGTGGAAGTGGGTTCTCCATGCGGTTGTGCTTGGGGGATCTGGGTGGAGATGGCCAGGATGCACCCCAATGGCCAGGACTTCCGCCATTGAGCTCTTCCCTCTCCTCCATCTCTTCTCCTGAGCGGTGGCCCCCATGCAGCATGCCAGCTGAAGGGCACAGGCCTGTGTCTGTTTGATAAAGGGGTGTCATGGCAGCTGTCACACAGCCCAGCGGCCAAAGCTCGAGGCTGAGCAGAGCCTGTGATGTAGGTGATGGCTCAGAGAATGGTACCTGACCCGTGAGACTCCTCTTGGTCCACAGTTCTGCCTGACAAGATAATGCCCATTTGTGGTCACTGGCAGAAGCAAGACCCCCAGGGACCCTCCTCAGCCAGTCCTCGGCATTCCAGCTAAGTGGATGAAAATCCCAAGATTCTCTTCTAGATGCCAGGGTAGGACAGGAGCAAGCCATAATGAGTTCTCCTATCCACTCCTGGCCGCCCTGGCTTCCTGCCTGTGCTTCTGCTCCCAGGACGTTCAGTCTCACAGTATCCTGCCCTTTGCCCCAGCTGGCTGCCGCATGTTCCAGGCAGTACTGAGTTGATTCTGGTTGTAGGTGAGTGAAGTGCTTCTGGGAAGGCCCTGAGGACTGTCACAGTTGGTGGGTGACATCTATGTGTGTTTCCTTTGAAGTTCCTGAGATTCCATCTCACAAGAAGGGTATAATGAAGCAGGAAGCCCAGTCTCCCCCATGACCACCTAGTAGTAAGAAGGGCAACTTAAACTTTGAGGGTAAGTGTTTAGGCCAGGTATAACCCAGGCTTCTAACCTTATAGTCATCAAGGACTGTTTTGATAATCTGTTGAAAATTGTTTTCAGAGACACAGAATTCTCTGTAGAAGTCGGACTTTGTATATATTTTTTGAATATTTTAAGTGACTTATTCAATCCCCTGTGATTCAGTTGTGCCACGGTGAGGTGCCCCTAGGTGGGCCGGCCTTTGGGTGAGTGTGGTGTAGCCATAGTTCACCTCACCAGCATGAAAGGGAGCCCTAGCTAGGGCTGTCGCTGGGCAACTTGTGAGGGAGGAGGTGCCGAAGCACCTGATTCATTCACCCCAGTTCCCTCATCCCCCCACACCCCCACACCCACCACATGTCTGTGCCTGAGTCCTAGATCTTTGGGAGTGTTATTTTGTGGATTTGGATGCTGAATCAAAATATAAGTAAAACGTGCTTTGGGGTCCTTAAAGCACAAAAAGATGGAGGTAAGAATTGCTACTTAAGGATGCATAAAAATATGTCAAGAGTTTAGCTCAGCTTGTCTGAATTCCTCCCTGCCTTCTTCTTCTCCTCCCCTGCTCTGGCTGCTCCCATTTCACATGTTAGTTGAACTAACAAATGAATTTGCCCCTGTATTTTCCTCTTGAGTTGAACATCTTTGCCCTGGGGAAACAGACTTCAATTCTCTATTTTCCCTAAGTAGAATTTTAGTCTTATTTGACTGGTCTTATCATTTGTGGCTCATTTTTTTTTTTTTCATTCAAAGAATGTTTAAATTAATTACTACTGTATCCCAGGAATTGTCCTAGGCATGGAAGTTAGAGAAGTGAGTCAGAAACCAGACGCACTTTCTAGGTCTGGTTCAGTGGAGAGCCTCGCTGACCAACCACTGGCCATAGTTCAGCTGTAGTTCAGTGAACTAGAGGGTGCCGGTGCTCAGCAGAAGTGCAGGAAGGCCGTGAGCAGAGGCTGCCTGCAGGCCTGCGCCTGAGCCTCCTTTCTGAGGGGTTAGAAAGGCTGATAATGCGTGACACTCACCACTTGTCTCCTCTCCTCTTGTCCCTGAGGCTGAAGAAGCATCCTGAGCCCCTCCAAAAAGAGTATCTCTCTCATCCTGCTGGGAGTGGGTCCGTGCCTCCTTTCCCAGCCTCCTTTGTCCTGCAGCAGCTATGTTTATTACATGCCATGTGGTAATTCTTATCTACCCAGGGCAGGAAGGCAGTTACTTGTGCTTAGAGTGCTGGGCAAGTGTGTGTTGATCAAACAAATTTCTTCATTTGACTTTCCCAGGTTTCTAGACAGAAGAAAAAAGAAAAAGAAAAAGAAGAAAACCTCCCTATCCCTATAACCTTAAAGACGTTTTCCTTTAGCACATCCTGTGTTCCCAGCAAGGAACCCGGCTGGGGGAAGGGGTATCCTGGGGTACACTCTGGAACTGGGCCAGGAGCACGGAAAGGGATCTAGAGCTCAGAGCAGGGCGGCAGAGCCCGCTTTTCCTCCTGGCCTCTGATCTGGGTGTGTCTCCAGGAATTTATTCCTCCTCCATGCCAGCTGCTGGCGAGAGCCCTCCCTCCCGCTTGCCTCTCTGATCACGGGCCCTGGCCAGTTGGCTTGGACTGTACTGCCAGGCCTTGCGCCGTCCTGTATTTGGACTGTTTTCTGGGCTGTGGTACGTACCGACGCCATCCCTGCTGGGGGGTGCTGGGACCCAGTAAGCAGCACCTTCTCTTTCGGCTGGGACTTCCAGGAAAATCACACACAGGAAAGGCCCCTTGCAGTCACAAGATGTGTGTCTGCAAGTCATTTAGGCCTGCAGAGTGCAGAGCCCTTGCACGTAACCACTGTTCCCACTGCACCCACATCAAAGATCGCTTTCATAATCAGTCATAGCCAAAGGCCACACATTAAGAGCAGGGCAAGAGAGGAAGGCTGTTTTGGGGGGAGCTCTCAAAGGAGACAGAGTATGAGGAGGAGATGTGGGGTGGTGCATGGGGAGGCTACCCGCGAAAGCCATCATGTGACCTGCGGATAGGAAAACACACAGCTCCCTCTGTCTTCCAGCCTTAGCAGGGTCCCTTCCTACCACAGCTGCTCCCGAAATCCCTAAGATGGCTGTGAAGTGGCCTCACCCTTCCCACCTCCTTGGTCTGAAAAGCAGGTTGTGAAGAGGGGGACAGCAGGAGGCCAGGCCTGGGACCTAACAGTGGTGTGGAATGTGGCCTCCCGGGAGTTAAGGCCCAGAGCCACACTCCCTGAGGAGGGCGAGTGGCAGAGGTCTCTCAGTTGTAGCAGTTGGTCTCTGGTAGTTGGTGCCAGCAGTGCCAAGAACAGCAAACACCCCGCTGAGGGGCTGGCACTCCACAGTCCCCAGAACCCGGATTAGAGCGGGTTCTGAATCTGTTCCTTTTTGGAAACAACAACCTTTCCTTAGAGCGCAGCCTGCCCTGCCGAGCGCCGGTACAAAGGGGTAGGCGTGGGCTTTGGGTGGGGGTCAGGCTGTGTGTGGGAACCAGCAAGCTCCTCCAAGAGCAGTGCTTATTTTTAGTCATCTCCCCAGTCCCAAATAAACTGACAGCAGCTGGGAGCCCGTGGGTAAATGCAGAATGGAGCAGAGACAGGAAATCGGGGGCTCTCGGTAATGAGTTCCAGCCACTCCACAAGGGGGAAGCCAGACAAGGAATTTTCTTCAGAACTGTTTCCCTCTGGCAGGCTCTGGTACTGTCACCGAAGAGGATGTTTCCTTGCGTGTGTGTGTGTGTGTGTGTGTGTGTGTGTGTGTGTGTGTGTGTGTGTATTTACGACCCCTGTCCAAGTCTTTCATTTTTTCCTGCCTTTTTATGAAGTTTGATTGCTCCAAAGGGTTCTGAATCCCTGTCCCGTGCCTCTGTGTGTGTGCCTGTGTGTGCGCCTGCCTGCCTGCCTGCCTGCGGGGGCAGTGGGGGAGGACCCTAGAGCAGCACCGTCTGGTCTCAGTGCTTGTGTGTCTGAAACTGTTTAAGGAAAGGCTGAAGGACACAGGCCGGGGAAGTGGGGAAATCTGCACACAGCTTGGCGTTCCTGAGGGGGAGGGGGCAGAGCCAAGGAGGAGGAGAGGACTTGGTCTCCAGCCAAAAAAAGGGCTTTTTCAACCCAGGACTCTTAACTGCTGACATGGGTGCCCAGCATGGATGGGGACATTGATGTTTACAAGCATTTCTCGTGGCTGAAGAGGGTAAGTGACTGGCTGCTTTGTCTGGGTCTCTGTGGAAATGAGTGCGGGGAGAGACACTTGGGTGTGTGTGTGTGTGTGTGTGTGTGTGTGTGTGTGACAGAGGGAGATGTTTGTCCAGTAGAGCTCTGCTGTGGCCAAG